CTTTCTATTTGTATTTCTTCTTTTGAGTTCATATACTAGGGAAACTATACGATATTTACACATGTGTGTCTGGTTTACTTCACTTATGAGTGTATGTTCAAGGGGCATCCACTTCAATATAGATGCCCATCACCTGAGGAATGGTTGAAAAAGATGTGGTATTTTTACACAATGGAGTATTATTCAGCTGTTAAGAATGATAAACTTGAAGCTTTTACATTGTTTAATTTCTTATTTGATTTCAACTGTGGTCCATTGGTTGTTCAGGAGGGTGCTTAATTTCTATTTTTTTATAGAGTTTCTACTGTCAATAATTTCTAATTTCATTGCACTATGGTTAGAAAATATCCATGTGATAATTTCAACTTTCTTGCATTTAAGCAGGCTTATGTAGTATTTTTTGGAGAATGTCCCCTGTGCAGCTGAAAGGAATATGTATTCTGGTATTGTTGAGTGAAATAATCTGCTGAGGTCTACTGTGTCCTTTTGCTCACACGTTTCTTTGAGTTTTGGTGTTTCTTTGCTGATTTTCTGTCTAGTTCATCTGCCTCTTTGTGACAATGGTGTGTTAAGGTCCCTCCTTAATATTGTGTCATTGCTTTTTTGATCTTGCATGCTACTAATATTTGTCTTATATACTTGAGTGCTCCCATGTTTGATGCATATATATTTATGGTTGTTATCTCTTCTTCTTGAAATTTTCCCCTATCATATATGTAGCGACCTTCTTTATCGGTTTTGATCATTCTTGCTTTGAAGTTCACATTGTCAGTAAACAGAATAGTTACCTCTGTTTTTTTCCTATGTTTTTGTCACATAGAATATTGTTTTCCATCCTCTGACTTTCAGTCTATGCATATCCTTTGAGTTAAAAGTGTTTCTTATATATAGCATACTGTTCGATTTTATTGCTTGATCCACTCTGTAAGTTTATTTTGATTGATAAATTTACATTGATGTTTATAATTGATAGGTAGTGGCTTATTTTGTCATGTGATATTCCCACTGTTGATTCCATAATTTTCCCTTCTGCTTAACTGCTTGCTCTGCTTGGTAGTATCTTTCTGTTATTCTTGGAATTGTGGTCATTTTTCTCTGTAGCGTTGGTTTGATAGTCATGAATTTTTTCAGTTGTTCTTTGTCATGGAAGTATCTTATTTCTCTACTAATTTTAAAAGACAGTTTTGCAGGGCACATCAATATGGATTGAAT